TGGGGTCTCTGGAAGTGACCTACATATTTGAGACACGTGGCCACATCTCAAGTGTCCGGGGCTTATTTTCTCCCACTGGCACAGAAGTATAAACAGGGTTGGGAGTCCCAAATGCCAAGCAGAGCGCCTGGCTCCCATGGGATGCATCCGGAGGCAGCCAGGGACAGGCTCCTCGGCTCTGCTCACCCCAGGCGTTATTAGCAGGTGTTGAAGGAGAAGAGAGGGAGGGAAAACAGATCTAGGCCTTCTTAGAATATTCCAGCTAGAAAACACCCCCGCGGAACAGCTGCCGGCTGCACGAGGCTTGGCAGCAATCAAAAACGCACAACAGCCAGCAGCAAACAGTCGGACAACAGCCTCGACGACGGGCAGGCTGCTGCCCGCCACAGGAAAGCTGGGATCACATTCCCAGCAGGGCAAACAAGGCCAGCGGAATCGGGCACGCAGACGTAGTTATGGCAGGGGAGGCACCTCCAACTTCAGTGGTCGGTGCCCCAACCAAGCAAATAAACAACATGACCCGTCCTCTTGGATGCCAAGAAGTGCGTGTGGAGCCTTCGGACCCTTGGGAGTGCAGGCTCAGGGTCCTCCAGGACGTACGTGGAGCTCCCAGGCCCTGCTGCAAGAGGGGAGAGGCACTGGCAGACTAGGAACGCGCTCAGCAGAGCTGCCAAACGACTCTCTGAATACTCAGACAACTTTCATGCACCACCGGGTGGAAGATGCTTCTTTAGTCGGATCAGAGAGGAGTCAAGTGTTTGACTCCCACACCAGGGGTAAATCACTGCTGCCCACCAGACTAGGGCATTTTCACAGAGAGCAGAGCCTGCCCCTTGACAGCAGGACACCCTAAACCCAGGGGAGCTTTCCTGAACATGGACAGGGCCACACTTGCAAAAAGCAGAAGAGGCTTCAGGTTTCAAGATGATTAACAACTTGCTCAGAGCTCTTGTGCCAGAGCTGCCCCAGAGAGGCACCACCAGGCCGCGTACGGCCCGTGGACATGCCCAGCCTGCACTTTTAGCACAAAGACAGTGCAAATAGACCTTAACTTGCGCAAAACTCTTTGGGGAGAGGGAGGAAGGGAGTCACAAGAAGTCAAGGCAGCCATGGAAAAATACTCTATGCCAAGAGCTGGCTTCACACAGAGACTGCAATGAATTTCTCCTGGTCGACCCATCAGCAGCTTGTGCACGTCCCCCTTTGCCAAGTGACCCAACATCCCCTGCACAAGGCGAGCCCTCTATTTTTTTGCAAATCAATGCTTATCCTCATCAGGTCATGATTCCCAGGCTCTGTGCAAGTCAGGCTCGAGGAGAGCACCTGGAAGAAGCAGATTGCAGCAGCGCTGCCAGCAACCGGCACCACCTGGGCTCTCACGAGGCCGCAGGACCCACTCCTGCCGCTGCAGCACCAGCGCTGGGGCCTGCAACAAGCCCAACGAGCAGGAGCCGAGTTGCTTCAACGACTACGCAGCTGATCTCAAACGCAACAGATTCTGGAGACGCATGAGTCATTTTGAAACAAACAAGCAACGAAAAGATGAGACTTCTCTTTTCAGAGGCAGCCGGACTTCCTGCACCGTATTGGCTCTCTGCAGAGCCCGGGCAGGAACCGTGAGCAGGCTCCACCACGGGGCCTGCACAGAGCACCTCTGCTCCCTCGGAGGACAGGGAGCACCATGGATCAAGCACCAGGAACCTGCCCGTCCGCTCTCCTTGGGCACATCTCCAACCTCACTCCTCAGCTTTTCTTGCTTCTTTGCATGTTCCTCCCCTCGCCTCTCCGCAGCTCCACTCAAAGACCGGGCTGTGTTCAGGGCAAACTTTCTTCTCCAGCCCACGCAGCATCTTCCCATGCATGATCCGGGTGGTTGCTGTCCCGTTTGCCCAGAGAGCGTCAGAAAAGGGAGCCCCCCTCACCACACTGGGCTCTGCAGCGACGGAGGCTCAGGACATTCCTGCACGTGGGAGGATCCGTGAACGGAGGAAAGGGGCAACTCGCACCCCGTTTTGACAAGGATGACCCCGGTTCTCCTCGCAATGGGGTGGACAGCCCAAGTCACCAGCAGCGCCACCACTCACTCATTCCTGGCAGGCCGAGCCCTCCCCGGCACGGAGGTGCCCCAGGATCCGCGGGGTGATCGGGCAGATCCCGCAGGGCTGGGAGCAGCTGCTGGGCCAGGCTGGGAAGCAGGAGGCAGCGGCAGCTGGGGACAGGGAGAGCCGGACCCGGCCGCACAAAACGCTGCCAAACGTGGCTGGGCTAAAAAGCAGCTGGTGACAATGACACATCGCACGGACAGATATAGCCCAGCGAGCCCCGAGCGGGGAGTATGGTTCTCATCAAGAGTCTCTTGCTGGGAGCAGTAGTCACAATCCCAAGTCAGCACTGCAAGTCCTCGCACCTTGATCAACAGGCTGAGCCCGCATGACTTATCCTAACAGGAGCCAGACTCCCTCTTTTCAAGAGGAAAAGGAGCTGAAAGAGGCAAAGAAATCACTGTGGAGAAATCCTCCAAATTTGAGGCTATGCTGCTCTTCCAAAAGCTGCTTTATGCTGCTTAAAGCCCAGCCTGCTGTGCAGGACGAAAAGGTCCCTTTAAGCCACCTTCCACGGCCACTTTCGTGTCCCTCTCCATACTCGCTGCTTCGCACCACCCGGCTGCGGCGCGACGTTATTCCTAGTTTTCCTCTAGGACTGTCTGCCAGATCCCAGCTCCTCCGTGCCACAGCGCAGGGGACATCCCTGCCCCACGGGATACCCGGGCTGGGACACCTCGGAGCCCCGGCGGTGCCAGGCTGATCCCCGTCCTGCGCCGGCAGCTCCCGGCTCCACGGCGGACGGAGCTGGCATCGTGATGGAGCCGGTGGCAGCAGCCTGGCAGGGCGCTGCCAGCCGCGTTCACGTGAGAAACAAGTTCATGCCATTGTAAGAGACTGAGGTTATGGAAAAAGCTGCCCCGCGGCCTCTCCGCTGAGCCGCTCAATCAGTGCCTTGTTCCACGGGTTTTTTGGATAGATATAGAGGCAACTCAGTGTCCCCTCTGCCAGGTCCGGCTGTGAGGCGGGCTCCGCGCATCCCCGCGGTAACAGCAGCGGGAAGGAGCGCGTGGCTTTCACGGCCAGGGCTCCCACCTCTGCTCCGAGAGCTGGCAGAGGCTGCGCGCGGAGCCCCGCTCCAGGGCCGGCGCTTC